CTAATTGCAAACAATGTGTTCCTGAATAAGAATTCTATTGTACTTATTTCACAGAATTGATTTCAAGATTCCTTTTAGTTAGTAACATCATCTATTTATATGTAGCTTACAAATATTTATGGTGTTCTTCCTATGTGTCTGCCACTAAAGGGCTCTCCTCTCATAGATCTTAGGATTCAGTTTAAGAAACAAGACTGGATGATATAAAATAATTAACATAAAAAAGTCTTCAAAGAAAGTGAGTTGTCCAAGCGCCTGGGTGGCTCAGTCAGTTAAGCGGTGGCCTTTGGCTCAGGTCATGATCCCAGAATCCTGGGATCCAGCCCCCCCCGGCCCCCCCCCCGCATCGGGCTCCCTGCTCAGCGGGGAGCCTGCTTCTCCCTCTCCCACTCCCCCTGCTTGTGTTTCCTCTCTTGCTATCTCTTTCTCTGTCAAATAAATAAAATCTTTAAAAAATAAAAAAGAAAGTGCATTCTCTTAAATAGGTTAAACAGTATCTGAGTTTTTAGTTACACTGTATATTTGCTCAGAAAATTACTTCCTTGAGATGATTTAGATGTTAGAGCTCAATCCAAGTTCAGTTGAGTGATAGAAATTAGTAGTTCCCTCCTCTAGGCTTTCCCCAGCATTTTCTTCAAATATCAATTATAAATGTGTTGTACACCATGAAATTTCATAGTGGTTTTTTTTCCTGTGATCTCTAAAAATTCCTGAAAGTATCCTTATACTCATGGCTTAGTACAATGACTAGCATATGGGAGATCTTTAGTAAAGACAAAAAATTATTTAATGAATGCTTTATTTCCCTCCTTCCCTCCTTATATCATATACTGTATGGTACATTAAAATCCCAATTGGGAAGCCTAGAAATGGTGGGAATTTGATCAAGTCACTGAAGCTGTTTCTCATATCTTCATTTCCTATTTCCAGATCCCCAATTCTGTAAACCATTCCAGTAATTCAACTTGGCAGGCATTTATTTTGCATATTCTCTGAGGAGTAATTTGTTATCTAATTTGCTATTTCACATCTATAGTCTAGCTGGTGCTTCTCATATGACAATGATCCTGATACTGAGAGAACCTTACATCCTTTATTAGTTTCCAAAAGGACAAAAAAAAGATTACTTCTAAATTTCATTGTTTGTAATGATTTTTAAAATAACATCCTAGACCACAGTGTGGGAATAGAAACCACTGTCAGGGACTCCAAAATTTGTATGAATCCCTAAAATATTTTATTTTATTTTATTTTATTATTTTATTTTATTTATTTTATTTTTTAGAGAGAAAGAGAGCAAGGTGGGGGGGGTGCAGAAGGAGAGGGAGAGAGAGAATCAAGCAGGCTCCACACACAGGGCAGAGCTGATGCAGTGCTCAGTCTCACAACACAGAGATCATGACCTGAGCCAAAATCAAGAGTCAGATGCTTAACTGACTTAACTGAGCCACCCAGATGCCTCTCCCTAAAATATTTTAAATCCATCTTATCTGCTGAATAGTAGAGCTCAAAGAAGACAGGCAATTTCTTAGTCTATCCTTGGGGCTTTATACTTCAAATTTTAGAGAATTCCCATCATAAGGACCTTATAATGATTTGTCTCTACCTATGCTTGGGTCTTTTCCATGTGCAAGGTTCTATGATGGACTTACATTAGACTTACATTAGAATTTCTTTGGATTTCTAAGAATCACTTCTATCTCTGATACTATGGTGAAGAAATCCAATGATAGGCACTGAGGGGACTGGCTGCCATATAAGGCTCAATGACCCTATACAATGACGAAGGAAAAACAACCATTGAGTCAATGCTCCAGTATACATTCAAAGATGGTAACGTCCCTGAAAGAAGTTGCCTTGTGTTATTACGTGGTACTGTAAATGTGTGACTACGTATAAATGTTCTGATATTAGGAAAAATATAGACCAAGGAAATTTGGCACAAATAGAATTAATACCTCTCCTGATCTCAATTCACTATTATTATTGAGAACGTGAATTAAGTGAAATAAATCCTTGACTCCTCTGTTAACGGTAAGGAATCTTAGAAAAATCTACAACTTTCACGTGGGTAGGAATTAATTTTGTCTGCCCTTCTGGTTACAGTTTTCATAGACTAACAGTATTTCCCATTCCTAGCCTTCAGCAAGGAAGAAAGAACACAGTATGAATTTACTACAGAGAATTATAAGAGCACATTTTTGTGCAATGAAACATGCTTTTACACTTTTTTGTAATTGGAGTCCACTATGATTGTTTTATGAAATCCTGTCGTGAAATACTTTTGTTATTTAGCTAACTAACCTCTTGAATTTTAACTCTAAAATATGTATTTCTAGTTATAAAGCTTTTAAAATTAATGTCAAGTGTCTTCAGCTCAAATATTACTGTTTTTAAGGTTGTCCTTGGAAGCTCTTTCTGCCTCATAGTTCCTCAATTTATTCACTCATCCTGTCGTTCATGTAATCTTTCATTGTGTTCAACCTCTACTAGGCACTGCATTTTTTCCAGGTGCTGAGAATACAGCAGAGAATAGTGACCCTCCCCATGTTAATGTTAGCCAAAAGTTAGGAAATGAAAGGTATTAGCCAATAAATTAGCTGCCCTAGAGCTTTAGATAAAGCCAAGTAAACCTAAATCAGTGGATTCTTATTAAACACTTAATGTGCTCTCGGGCTAGTCCCCAAGATTATGCCAGTTTAAAAGTTCTGACAAAACTGGGGTAGCTATGGCACCTACTGCTGTCACTCTGTTCATGTTGTTTCACTATTTTACAGAAACCACCAAGCTTCTGAGAAAGAATCCAAGACTTCCATTCCCTGGGAAAACTTGAAACTTCTATTATCCCAGTTTCTAAATCCCATAGACTACAACCCAGGGATCTCTAATACTCTAGAACAGAATAAAGCAAAAAGTATTACATTCCTTTTGTTAAAAACATGAATAAAATGGGGTAGATTTTACCACCAGAAGACAAGGACATTGACATATTCTTGATTATTCATAGTCAAAGTGTAAAACTCGTATTACATAAGGCTGAGAAGGCACTTGCTAGTTTTGCAAGCAAAATCCGTTTTCCCTTCTAGCACATAAAAAAAAAAGTTTTATTTAATTCCAATCAAGTAAATACAAAGAATTATTTTCCATAACGTCTCTGCTGAGAAATTCTGGCAGATTAGGGATAGAGTCCTGTCTTCAAGAGATCACATCGGAAAGACCAACATCCACAATCTCCAACCAAAGAAGACAACAAGATCTAGAGCAGGGGTCTGTAAATCTTTTCTGTAAAAGCCCAGACTATATATTTTAGGCTTTGTAGACAGGATGGTCTCTGTCACAATTACTCAACTCTGCCTTTATAGAGTAAAAACAGCCATAGACAATATGCAGATAAATAAGCATGCCTGCACTCCCTAAAACTTTATTTAAAAAAACAGAGAGCTAACCAATATGGCTCACTGGCCTTAGTTTGCCAACCCCTGATCTAAGTAGATCTGTATTCTGAGAAAAGGCAATATTTCTTATTTTTATTTAAGTTCTCATTTCTATTTTATGTCCTGTCAAATACTAAAATAAACTTAAGCATGTACCTTAAATAGTAGAAGAGATAAACTTTTCACTTATTATCAGATAATAATAATAAAGAAGTTCTGATGGAGGATATCTCCAAAAGCCCATTTAAATGCTATTTTTTCCCATGTTGATGGGATTTTAATATTTTTCTATATGGTACATCACTATCCTTTGCCTTATATATAGTATAGTGAGTACAATCTAAATTTTTATTATTGTTTTTCTTTAATCTTCCTGAACTATGTACAAAAATATTCTTAGGGGCACTTGAACTCTCCAGGGACACATGCCCTACCTACATCGTTGGCCTCAGTCTGCAGTTTCTTTCCAGTTGTATGTCCGTTACCATCACTATCCTATATATCAGCTATCAATGCCAGTGTGTCTCTTTCTACTAATCTCTTTTTCTATGTCCACACTTCCTCTTATCAGAGTTCCATGCATGAAATCTGCTCTCAAACGAAAACTGAATTTGGATTGAAAGACCCAAATAACTTAGCTTCAGGAATTACATAAGAAGTTACCATAAACCCTATTATTAAGTCCCTGGCCCTTTGAAGAAGGGCTACATTCCTCTTCTGGGGTCACAGACTTTATAAAGGCTATTTTCCACAACACTCAAAAGCTTGTTGGCTTGTTTCTTGTGTGTGTTTTTTGTTTGTTTGTTTTGTTTTGTTTTGTTTTTTGGCTAGGTTTCAGAACATTCAGGTTACTAGAAATCTGATTAACAGGTGAATGAGGACTTTTCCTAGTGTACAAATACCTCTTTATTTTCAAGGCATTTGTAAAAACTGATATGAGCATATTCTTTATTGACTTTACTGCTTAAATTTACTCTGTTCCATATCCTGCCATTCTCTCACTAACTTTGTCTAAGTTTAGCACAAGGATCTCACCCTGTACCACTTAAGAACCATCTAGGGGAACACTGGAAAATAGCAAGCCCCAGATCTCTTTTCTAATCATTCTGTTTGGGAGTCAGAGAACAAGCATTAGTCATTTTTGGTTTTGTTTTGTATTATTTTAAGATTCCCAGGTGATTCTCAAGTTAATCAAAGCCTAGGAACCACTGGATTCCTATATCCACTTTCTTTTGGAAGTCTGTATAAAGGATAAAATGAGCAGTTTACACTGATACCTCCTTCTCTTTTGTGGCACAAAATTTTTACACATCATAAAGGTGGAATTACCCAAGGACTTTAACTTTCTCTTCTTTGAAGAATGTCCTGCAAGTTTAATTCCACATGGCTGCATTTCAAAATATATACTTTTTTGATGACCTCACCATGTGGAAAATGTAGTAAGGCTTTAGCCATCAGTGTTGAGATCTTTTATTCTCTTTTCCTTGGTCAACTCTTACGTCTTAAATGACTGTTTCTGGTAACTGTGAAGCCACGTGAATGTTACTGTCTTTCTCTTGTTCTTAGCACCAGAAGAATGGGCCACAACCCGCTCCAGCCTGAAGGCACCACCGCCAAGGTCAGCCAGAGGGGGATACAGGGAGCACCCCTATGGTAGATATTGAAGGTCCTTCTCACCTGTGACCTCACCTCAAAGACAATTCATAGCCTGTGGTCTCCACATAAACAGCAACAAGACAAGTAATAGTCCTTTTTTTTTTCTATCCTAGGGATAACTGCTCATGATTTCTCCCATATATTTCTTGTATTTTCCCCTATACTGTTGGCGTGACATTGACACTAGTATTATTTTACAAAACGGACTAAAAAAGACATTGGCAAGCATTGTCTATAAACCATTCAGTAGGATGATATTCTCTTGTTTTTCATTGTTGTGTGTAACCTTTTTTTTTTCTTTTTTTCTTTTTTCTTTTTTCTTTTTCTTTTTTTTTAAGAAAGAGCATGAATCTGTTAACAGATTTTGAGTCTCAATCAACTAGCAAAAACTTTGTTTAGGGTTGCTAAAAGACTGTAATATGATTTTTGAACTAGCTGATAATAAAGTTGTAGATAAGATGTTTTAACCTGTCTTTTAATATCTGTTAGTTAGATGAAGATGTTCGATATTAAGTTTGTAAATTTAATTTTAAATGCTGTTTTAATGGAGTTGAAAACAAGCAGCTACTGTATGTATGTAGCTAACTGAATTTGTTCAGTGTTTTAACCTGTATTTGTTAAAAAAGAAAAAAAACACACATAAAGTTCCATGTGTAAGCTACTCTAAATAGGAAACCACAATTTGTCAAATATGTTTGCCATAATTTGTCAATAAAGCTGAAAACTTTTGTAAAAACTAAATTTGGAATTACTTGTTTTCTAGCTTTAAATGCCTGCTTTATTTCTTCTTCAAGAGATGCCTAAAATGTTTTCTATTTAAAAATTACAAAAATGAACCCAAGCCTGTTTTAAGATATTTGTGTAATACTTAAAAAATGTATTAATAACTTATGGTTGTTAAATAATTTAAAAGTTAACAAACTAAACTGTTACATGAATCATGGTTAGTAAACACTAATGTATAACATGTTAATGGAAAAAAATGGATTTAGAATAATAAATGGATTTTAAACTATCCTCTAAGCTTTATCTTGCTAAACACAAATTCTGATTGACTTGTTTGCATTAGCATGTCTCTCGTGAGAAAGAGTAATGGAGTATAAAGAGGTAAGATTACCACTTACCACTGTCTAAATGCCTAGTTCTTCAACCTTTGAGTTTCCCCGCACATTAAATATCCCATCCAACATGTAAGCATTGCGTAGATTCACTTTATTGTTTTCACTCAAAGGAGTGCGTGGACTTCATTTGCGTAGTTTATAATAATTTGTTTTGACAAACAAATCATCAGTGTCACTGGCCAGTTGTTGCTATTCAACCTCAAAACTTTATTTGTAATTTTCAGTGCTAAATATCACCGCCCTTGAAGGCAGTTTAGAGGGCTGATATTTCTTTTGAGACTATCAGACTTGATGGCTGATGATTATTAAGGAAATATGTCGCAGGACTCAAAGGATGACTAAACGTTAAACAGGTAACACTAATAGTGACTCTGTAATTTTGCCTATGCAACAGTAATGTTAAATATTCTCAGTTATTAAGTTCCTGATAGTTAAAAAAGTAAACCTACAAAAACATAACAAATAGGTCTATAGGTTATTAAAACAACTAATTAACATTAACTAGAGGCACCAAAATTATTTTACAATATATAACCCTCAAGGCAATAAACAGAACTAAAATTAACAATAATAGTAATGCAACTCTTGCTAACATCAAACGTAAGCTAAATTTTGATGGAAAAAGAAAGCAAAAGACTTGATGGTAGGGATGAATGCCAAAACTGCTAATCTTTTAAATACAGTTTTTTTGTTTATGGTGGCTTTTGTCGATGTGATTGGTTTACTTTTTTGCTGCTAACCAGCTTAGGCATATTGCTGTTCAGTTTTTGCAGCTGGAGTTGCATGCTAATAGTTTTACGAAGTGTGTGTCTGTCATCAATTAAAATTGTAAATGTTTGCCTTGCACACAATGCTGTTGAGTTATATTTAATTTTCTTTTTTTATTTTTTCTCACTATTTCAGGTATCCACAAGCAAAGAGCACATAAGTGAATAGCAGATGTGGTGGGCTAAGAAGGATAAGAGGTAAGCTTATTTTTTTTTTAATTTTTTATTGTTATGTTAATCACCACACATTACATCATTAGTTTTTGACGTAGTGTTCCATGATTCATTGTTTGTTAAGCTTATTTTTTAATCTCTCCGAAATAGATAATCTTTACCAACATAGAGCTGTGGCGGTGAGCTGAAACACCAAATGCCACTTGTTGAGATACTGAAAAGGTTTAGATTGTTGTCAAGGAAAATAATTATTTTTATCTTTGAAATAAAGTGACTAACTTGGTATTTACCTGGCAAGGATTTCTGAGCTTATTAAGAAGCTTATCAAATGAAACGTGAATTAGTAATCTGCAGCCTTTCTCTTTGCTACGAATTACTATATATGACATTTCCCTAATTGTACAAAGGAAGAGTATTCAAACTTTGATTCTGCAGTTTTAGGGAAAGAAATCACAACTGTTGGCGGAGATGGAGGAAGGGCAAAGGGAAGCCCGTAACTGCTTGCCGACCCTTCGTGAGATATCTATTAACATGGACATTTATTTAGTTGAAGAAAATAACTAACCTTACCATTGTTTTCCCCAGTTATGCCACCAGACTTAGCGATAAACTTCTTGTTTCTCATCGGCCATTCTATTTGATTCAGCAAATATTCACTGAATTCAAAGCACTGTTGAAAATTGAGACTTCATTTCTGTACACAAGGAGTAGAAAACTTGAGCCAGTAAACTTCAGACCGAAAACAATGCAAGGGCAGTTAGGAAGTCCACAGACTAACCTGAAACTCAGAGAATTGAAACGGCTTTGCCATGACATTTGAAATACGGGTGAAACCTAAAAAAACCTAAAAACCTAAAAATTCTGGACCTGGTCCTCTTTCTTTTTACTACACAAATATCGTGTAGCCTTCAATGAGTCCTATAGGAACAGTATGAGGAAGCCTGGAGAGACCTTATGACCAGAGATAGAACAGAAACTGAGGGAACTATGGAAGAATAGTCTGTCCGTCGATGAGGAAGAGAGCGCCACCTAGTGAAGGGAATAGGTTGTGTCACTTCACAGAGTTCAAAAAGTTCAGGAAGTAAAGTTTGAGAGGCCAATCAACGGGCCCTGCAGTCCAGCTTCACGAAAGCACAGAGTGGAAGCAAAGCCTGGAGAGGAATGGTCAAGTCAGGTGGCTGTCCTTGAGTGCTATGTTAAATTAATTTTTCAGATTTTATGTGAAAAATAAAAGGAAGCCACTTTAGGTTTGAAGTAAACAATCAGAGCTAAGGCAAGTATCCCAAGGAACCATGGCAATCCACACGTTTAGTCAATTTCATAATTACTAACTTCATCTGGGAGACCTTTTCTAAAATTCAAGGTGTTAAAATAACTATCTAAAACTATACGAGCTTCAACTAATCAAGACCCTTTGTCAAGCCACAGAATCAAAGGTCAAAAGTTACAGAGAATACAATTCGAAATTTTATTTATCAGCAACATTGCACATCTGATTTGACTCTTTAAAAATGTTAGTTTTTATAAAACGAGGGGAGAAAGAATCTCTAATCCAGATGTCCTGCATATTATTCTCCTTTGAGCCTTTTCAAGCAATAGGCTTGAACTTGTAAAGCAATGAAAGAGAAACCAGTCACTGTTACTATTTTGATATATTAATGAGTATGTTTTTGTGTCCACTGAAATTATTTTGTTGTCGTGCTGTTGTTGTTTTATCACCCTGTGGCTATCTCACCAGACTACATCTTTGAATGCCTTAACTCAGGGCGGGTCTATGACAGCAGAAACAACAGTGCCGAGCAAGAGAAGAGAACATTCTTGGCCTACTAAGTTAAAAATGTAAGAGTTTTTAAAGCTCAAAAATAATGATTTATGAGAAAGGGGATTTTTAGTTTCAAAAGCCTGGATTTTGAATAGGCTTTAACTAGGACATCAAGTTTATGTGTTAACAGATTTAAAAGGCTCCAAACAATCAATCAGTCCATGACTCATCCACCTGCCTCCATACATTCTACAAGGTAAATACTGCCCATGTGGAGACAAAAGCTCAAGAGGCAGCAAAATCTAAGATATTAGTTTAAGATATTAGCATGGCCTAGAGAATGGGTTCTGTATGCTTTATGAATTATCCAGTAAAAGCCTCAGGTAGGTTTGGAACACAGAAGGGACCTTTGTCTAGAATAGAGCCTAGGGAGGCAGCAGGCTTCACAGAGTTCCCCCACACCCGTGAATCCAGGTGCTATCCTGTAGAAGAATGTTTCTACAGACTGTTCCTCCATGTTGGCAAGAGTGGAGCAGGTGTGGCAGAAGCAACCACACACACAACTGTCTCTGCAGGAAGGAATGGCAGGGAGTGGTGGCATCAGCACGGACTGGCGCTGACCAGGATGTGGACGTAGCGGTAGATACAATGTGGAAAGGTGACAAGATCAGCTGCACTCCCGACCAAACTCCAAAATTTAAATCCAACCCTGGGAAAAAGAGATGGGGCAAAAATCGATCCCTGAGTTGACAAAGCAACTCCCGACCAAAATTAATCCATATTCAGATGAGATTGTTTTTTTCTAACTGGCAGTCTGGAGACCTAAGATTGAAATGAAGTTGAGGTACAGAAAAATATAATTACACATACACTTGCAGTTGTTTATTGCATAACTTTGACTCTTAAGATAGAAGGGAATAGAGTAGGTTTCTCTGGCAATGGGGAATGAGAGTTTCCCTAAGTTAGTGGCCTTTCAGCAGAAACCTCTGATAGAATGCAAACTGTTCAGAGTGGCCCTAACTAACAGACATTCATTCGCCCAGCGGGTTCATTCTTCTCTTGTCGGTATCAGACAATGATGCCGGCTCCCAACGTCATCCCGTCATGACATCATGTCTGCTCTCACTAGTTCTGAAGCGCTGGCTCCCAAAGATGGCTGTCAGGAGGCACCTTGCCAGTTAGAACCACTGATACACAAACATCCTCAAGTCTGACGTTCACCTCTGCGAGTCATACAAACTTGCATGGCAAATTAAGGTTTGTAAATTACAGTGCATTCCTTGTAACTGCAGCTCGAAGTGATTCCTGTGTTTGTTCCAAGCATTTGTTCAGATAATGCTGTAATTCTTGGTACACTGATGATCCTGTGACAACTGTTGTTCACCAAAATGCCAAAGGTAGCTAGCCTGGACACTAAACAATTTTAAACAGTACTAATAGCATTAATATGTAAGAAAGTCTTTGTGCCTGCTATTTGTCCAATAAAAAGTTTTACTACACTCAAGTATGATAAAATCAGAATCAATCTGATGCCACCAAAGAGAACAAAGAGTGCTTTTAGGTCTTATTTGTAATATTTAGATCATTTTCACTTTCAGTATATTAATGGAACTGAAGCCATTTAGCTTAACAACTGAAGCACTAACAGTTTTTAAATAAATGTGACACAGAATAACATATTAAAGGTTCCCATGAATTCTTCTAAGGGAAATAGTTTTTTTCAAGCTGTGTTATTAAGACATTAATCTTGTGTCTTTAGTTCTTCACTTAAAAATAGTCTGGCATTTTGAAAACTGCAAACGTAACCCTTTAACCATATAGGCTACTCTCATTATCTCTACGTCTCTTGGTTAACATAATATAGAAGTTTGTAGGTTTGTTTATTTTTTTAAGGGAATAGAGAATGGTGATCAGTAATCTGAGTTGGCTGAGCGTCAAGTATCAGTTTCAGTACCAAGAGACCACCTGTTTACAGAAAACTCCATCCACTCGCCACTCTTGCAGTTTTAACAGGAAGGTTTAATTTTTTACTGCAAAACATTCTGTAGTACACAATTAAAAATACCCAATTGTATAATTTATAAAATGTATTTATGTTTAGTGTGAGGTTAGAGTATTAATAATAACAATAATAATAGTGGGGCCATGTGTTTTCTGAGCATATCTTCCAGGCAAGATACTGTCATTTTCACACAAAAACTTACATGAAACATCTTCAATCCTTAAAGCAAGCTTGCAAATGCCTAACCCTGTCTTATAGAACAGGGGGTTGAAGTCCAGAGGTTTAACTAATGTCACACTACTAATACACAGAAAAGCCAATATTTAAAACAAAGTTTGATAACCCACACATTTCCCCAAATGTTATGGTGATCCCCAACTTTTAATGAATTTAATTGAAAAGAGATTCTAAAATATCAGATATCCTTACTATAATTTCTATTCTGTAGCAATATGATGAATATTGACTAAAAAAAGATTATGATAAAATATTTTAACTTGAATTACATCTTTATTTTGACCGTTCCTCAAATCTGTCATTCTTTCAAAAGTTCTGATTCCATCATAGAAAAATGTAGATGAAAAGTATCCCAC